CGGCAAATTTTGACATTTTTTTAAATGTAGGTATAGAAAATTCGAATTTAGAAAAAAACTAGGGGAGCGAGAAAGTAAAAATTACAAACGAGAAAAGGCGACAAAATCTCTAATTTTCTGAGAGTATAGTAATTTCTACTTTTGTCGTCTTTCAGTGATACGAGAGACAGCACCTTTAATTAGTTGAGTTAAGAGAGAAACCAAACACGCAATTTGGCCTGGAACGGCGTGACTGAGAGAGAAACGATGACGAGGACTTGAGATGAAAAGGAGAAGCCCTCAGCGCGGCGATCGGCATGTAACACATATTAGCCCCTTCAAGACTGCACGAATACTTCACGCATTGCGGCAAACACAGTGCGATCAGCGTGAAACGCATAGCGCCTACATGACTGCTTGAATACTTCACGCATTCTTCCTGTCATTCTTTACTTTTTAAACGGAAAACTACTCAACGGCAATTCTTTAAAGCTGCCGTGATTTTTCTTCTCTGCGCGAAGAAAATTCGGCATAAACTTCAGGAAATGATGTCGATGTGTTCTCCTTTAAAAAAATAACACAGGGACGGAGATTTTCAGACACCGCAAACGAGACATGTGGTTTCAGACTTACGCCGACGATATGAATTTCTCGTACAATACTACATTTTTACAATTAATTAATCTAATCATTATTATTGATCAACTAAGTTCACTTTGTACCATTACCGTGCCTGAACTAAAACCCAGCTTTTGCTTAACGTCACTGTCTGCTCTTGAATGGGTATTTATTACCCTCTTCTGCTTTTATTTGTTTCTCTCTTTTCCTCTTCAATGTATCTGGTATTTATTAAATAATAATACTGATTAATTAATTATAACTCTCTCTTAACTTGATTAAAGTGAAAAAGTATTATTGTCTACAAAAATATTCATACACCTAAGAGCATATCGAACTGCGTTGACACTGTCAACTTGACAGTATCCTCCTCGGTAGGTACGCATCGCCCTTCTCCAAAAAGTTAAGAAATTAAAATTGTTCGTTAAAATGAATCACCAGATGAATTTAATTCGCAACAATGAAGAAAAAGGTTCCAAATTTCAAAATAATTTCGAAAGACAATGGAGTTTGTACTCGGCATAGGGACACCCACGTTATTCTTAACAGCAGTGTTTAACCGCATCGATTCGTCAAATAACTATGCATAATCTTGTATATTTTTAAGTAAGCGTGACTCCTACATGTTAACTGATTCCTTGACTTAAGTTTCCAATTTTTCCTCAAAAAAATAATGATTTTTTAGGGAAAAGTGCTATTGAATAGTAATTGCACACAGGGAGAAGATTGCGAATCGAAGTGCGGACACCCCGATTTGGACGGTCGAAAAAACATAGAATTCCGCCCTACTTTCCTTCGGTAAGGATTTTTTTGTACAATAGATGCGTCTGGATGTTTAATTAATGTTGTATTAGTGATAAAAACCCATTTAAAACGTGTGAAATTAACATTTCCTTCAAGGAATGAAGTACGCATCACGCGGGTTGACGAGAAAACACGCGCTACATTTATAATCCACCGTCGTATTACTCGTTCACAGTTACGAATTTAGAAAGAAAAACCTATGTAGTTATTATTTTCGATGGGTGCTAAGGAGTACAAAACGCGTATTTATTTTAATATCGATGGAAGTTGAGAGAAATAAACACAGAACGAATCGAAACGAAAATGACAGCGCAAATATCGCAGCTCTGTTCCTTTTGGCTCTTGCGCGCGATATAAGAAGTAAGGTCGCACCGCTGCACGGCATACCGTTCGTTTCTGAGTCACTCTCGTGCGCTACTCTCAAGAATCATCATGTCTGACGCTCCAGTCGCCGCAGCACCCGCCACCCCGAAGGCACCCAAGAAGAAGGCCGCAGCCAAGCCCAAGAAGCCTGCAGCTCACCCTCCAACCGCTACCATGGTCAACGAAGCTATCAAGACCTTGAAGGACAAGAAGGGATCTTCTCTTCAGGCCATCAAGAAGTACATCGCTGCCACCTACAAGGTTGATGCCGACAAGCTTGCTCCCTTCATCCGCAAGTACGTCATCTCCGCCACCGCCTCAGGCAAAATTATCCTGACCAAGGGTAAGGGTGCCGCTGGCTCCTTTAAGCTTCCCGCTAAGGAAGAGAAAAAGAAGGTCGCCAAGAAGCCCGCCAAGCCGAAGGCCCCCAAGGCCAAGAAACCCAAGGCAGCAGCCAAACCCAAAAAGGCTAAATCTCCGAAGAAAGCTAAGGCAGCCAAATCCCCAAAGGCGAAGAAAGTCGCTAAGCCACCCACCAAGAAACCAAAGGCACCCAAACCCAAGAAGGCAGCAGTGAAGAAAAGCCCGAAGAAGGCCGCACCTAAGAAGAAGTAAACTGTGAACACAGTTTCTATTCGAGCGCAGACTCCACTTTAAAACGGCCCTTTTCAGGGCCACCAAATCTTATTATGAGCACCTAAAACCCTCTTCCATCCTTATTCTTCGCACATCATCATGATAATGTCAATGTTGTTATTTTCGTTGATTCGTACCAGCAAGTGTACACAGTACTAGGGATGTCGATACTCAGGGAAGTATCGATACTCGGTATCGATACTGGTATCGACTCTAAGCATCGATACCGGTATCGAGCATCGAGCTGAAGTATCGATACTTATGAGGTATCGATACCATCGATACTATTTCTGAATTATGCCGTGATTCTGAGTGTGCGTATGTCTGTCGGCCGTTAAATTCCGCCAGATTTACGCCTCTCTCGAAAAAGCCCTGTTCGCGTCCTCAGTCAACTATTTTGAGCCTTTAACTACACTTATCGAACTGAGCTTTTAACATTTTTATTGAGGTATATCATTTTGAGAAACTTGATTACTCCGTCGTTTGTCACAGTGCATCATGAAGGTGAAATAGTGGGGAGAGAATTTTTTAAAAAAGAAAAAGAGGCCTTCTTCATGGCCAAATCAGATTAAGTATCGATACCGTCGATACTGGGGTCTTGGCATCGATACTGCATGGTATCGGTATCGTGGAGTATCGATGCCGAGTATCGTTAAGTATCGATCGAAAGTATCGATACTTTGCAAGTATCGGATAAGTATCGACATCCCTACACAGTACACGTACCTTCTTTTTAGAAGGAAGTGACTTCTTTCCAAATAGAAGTTACGTGTACTATGACATGATGTCATCTTTTAATCAACTACTGAAGTACTGAATGCTTTTTTCTCCTTATTGGGTCTTTCAACAAGTAAGGAAGAGGGAAAGTCAAGAAAATTTTGTCCTAGTGAACAGGCTCGGACTGGCCATAGGGCCAATCTGCCATTGGCAGATACGCCCCCTTGACGCACCGAAAACGCGCCCCCGCCCTCTGACAGATAGCAAAATAAAAAATAAAAAAATTACGACTGAGAATTTATGCAGAACATTTCTTAAATGAACGGAACGAGAGAGAGTTAGGAGTAAAGAAAGGTGCTTTTGACAGTAGTGAACCGAGGTCCAAGGACTACTTTCTGAGCGTAAACACTTTTCTGCGAAATTTTTACCTTTTTGTTGACATAGAGCCGCTTTATCATCCCCTTCCCTCATCCGCTATGTATAACTCCCTTAGAAGCGAGGGTCGGTTCGATTTTTAGACATACTCACCCTTTATAGACCTTAAGAGAGACTTTTAATCATATTTCTTCCTTTTAAAATTGACTGCTGGTTCGGACATACCAATATCTCAGGAAAACTCAACCTTAATTTATCTCGAAATTCAAAAATAAGAGACATCTAAAGTGTAAACGCAATACAACTATTCGCGCAAGATGGATGTCTACATTGCATATGGAAAATGTGAGACGCGATGGCGTGAGTCGTGAACTCGCAATGCTCTGCTCTATGCTACTAGTTTGAGGCACCATTACGAATAAGACGAACGGAAACAAATACAATATGGAAGTAGAGGGAGGGAAAGGATGCGCGTTTACGACGGCGCAGAGATACAACTATTCGTACTTGATGGACGTCCGTGCTGCATCTGAAAAATTGAAGGCGCGATGGTGTGAAGCGTGAGCTCTCAATGCTCTGCTCTATGCTGTCAACGAGGTGTCACTCAGATTCAGGTGAAAAGTTTTAAAAAAAAAAGGCCCGAACACTTTTTTCTTGCCCTCAGCTGTGTTACTCACATAGAGTTTGAAGCACCATTACGAATAAAACAAACGGAAACAAATACAATATGGAAGTAGAGGGAGGGAAAGGATGCGCGTTTACGACGGCGCAGAGATACAACTATTCGTACTTGATGGACGTCCGTGCTGCATCTGAAAAATTGAAGGCGCGATGATGTGAAGCGTGAGCTCTCAATGCTCTGCTTTATGAGGTGGCGCTCAGATTCGGGAGAAGAGTTAAAAAAGAGGTCCGAAAACGTTTTTCCTGTCTTCGGCTGTATTGAAATTGATACTCGTTCTTTTTTTCAGGTTCTTGTCTGATTCTTTCTTAGGATGAATTTGCAGACCCACGTCTTAAGCTCTTGTAAACCGCAGCACTGGCTCGGTCCTTTTGGAAATAATGGTGCTTGGATGCATCAAGTGGCTTTAATTTTTTATGTTTTCTTTCATTTCAGAAGTCTGTCGGTTACTTCAATATACGTTCAATTTTGCAATGTTTACTCCGTACGATTAATAAACTTTGAACCTGAAAATAGCGTAAACTTGTGCTGATTTGCCAAAATTTTCTGAACCCCTCTCCACGTAAGGAATGCCCTACCAGAAAATATCACATTTGCCGACACCACGTTAAAAAGAGCGCGCCGAAAGCTCTACCTCCAGGAGCAGTACCGTATCATTTTCCTGATCGGACTCTCCTAAGGTGGTGTGGAAATGAGCTTTTCAAAAGTTGTTTCCCCATTCCTTTTCGAGTTGCGCTCTCTAGTTTCTAGCTATACACATGAAAAACAAAAATAAGTTACGTCAAAACCCTGAGAATCTTTTTATTGAACCCGTGCGAAACTGAAATTTTCAGGTGAGAGCAACACGAAGCTGTACACATGAAAAACATAAATAAGTAATGTCAAAACCTGAGAATCTTTCTATTGAACCGTGCGAAACTGAAATTTTCAGGCGAGAGCGACACGAAGCTGCAGGAGTGTAAATTTTTATTTATTTTTTTTTTTTTTTTTTTTTTTTTTTTTTTTTTTTTTTTTTTTTTTTTTTTTTTTTTTTTATTCAGAGCAGAAATTCAAAATCTTGTAAGTGTTATCAGGTGTTGCTATACCTAATGTTCTAAGTTTCTAATAGACCAAATTTAGAGAAAATTTCCTCATGAAGACGGGGCATTTAGGATCTTTTACGCTGAGGAGCGACATGCATATTTTAGCAATAACCTGATGACGTTCGCCAGGTTTTGAACTTCTGCTCGTCATGTATCGATGGCTAAATGCGAAAAAGATGTATCTCAATTTAAGCGTTTTAAAAACCTCCGATTATATGTTTTATTCTCTGCAAGGATTACTAACCAAAATGGTTCCTTGAAGTTTTCTATGATTTACTTAGAATACATGATTATAAGTATGTTGGTTGATATTCACTCAAAAAATAAAACATGATCGGAGACTTTTCGTCGCAAACTGAAAAACGCATTTTTCACTTTTCGTCGCAAACTGGAAAACGCATTTTTCGAGTTCAGCTATTAAGATGTGACCGTCAAAGGGGCCCCAAGTAGCACAGATTGCAATACGTAGTAATTACATAATGTAAATATTGCTATTCAACTGAGTGTTGTGTATGTTGCCTAGCTCCTATTTGAAGGGGCCCCATTCACTGAAACTTATTGCAATATAATGCCATCAAAGCTTCGGGGAAGAATAGCTCAATATATACTGTATTTGAATGTATAACGGACAAAGAAGTTGAATGAAATTTTTGAAAAAACTTAAAAAAGGGACCTTTCACAAATGACTTACATCATGCTCATAAGGGCGTAGTCTGGTTCAACGTACCAGCTGGGTGCGGGCGTGAGGGGGGAAAAAGGGTATTCAATATTGCTCAAACTCACGTGAAACTTTGTGCGAAGCGCAATTTTTCTTTAAAAAAAAATTGTGTTGGTGAACACATCGACAAAATATTCTGATTTTGCACTGCATAAAATGAGAGGTATTTCGCAAAGCCGTGACTGTACTTTTTTAGGGAAAGTGCACGGCCGGTGGGGTATGAAATGGGGGTCTAGACTTCCAAATCCAGCGTGACGTAATACATTATGGAGGTCTTCTTTTAGTCATTCTTAGTGAGCGTAACGTATATTATATTGTTGAGCTTTCACCATGATTTTGACCTAATTTTGACATGTCTTATTTACTTATTTATTCATTTAATTTGTTCACGTCGGGGTTACCATTTTGTTGAGCTGCACTCAACAATACATGAAGTATAGAACGCTTCAACTATAAAACGTATAAAACTGAAATAATTTTATTGATAGTTTTTCGTACCAATTTTCACTGATTTTCTGTAAGTTGAAGTAGAGTTGAAGTGGCGAAAACAGGTTATTGAATAATAAGTGCATACAAATGTTTGAACTTGGAAGATCAGCTCAAAAGGAGTTACCAGTCTCAACAGGTTTACTTTAGGAGAATGAATCTGAAGCTCACATATTGTACTGATGCCTCAATGTTCGAATTAAAATACTATTTGTGTCAAAAGCTTCCGCGATGTATCTCATTAAGAACACATGGAATCATGATCATGACACACACATACCGACTTGACTTATGTATTCACCCACAGGCCCGCCACAAGGGGGGGGATACTGGGTCCCTGGTACTGGGGCCCGGGCCCCGGAGGGGGCCCGTGTTACCCGTGAAAAACCACTACGAATTCATATGCAACCCTTGTTTCGTAAGAAAAAGTGAAAAATTTACCCTAAAAATTTCGCTAAAGGTGAATAGATTTTCAGAAACACGCTTGGGGCACTGTAGAATTCTTCTTAAATTTTCAAAGAAGTATACTTCTTGGAAAATTCCTATCTATTTTCAAGATTTTCAGTACAGAGGGATATTTTTAGTAACTGCGTTTCATTTTCTTCCGTCGTCAGATGCTAAGAGTCTCCAGTCTGGGCATCCTCGAC